AGCTCTGAGAGAACTATGACTAACCCAAGCTCACCCTGCTGGCTACATGTGGAGGTACATAATGCACAGCCTCTGTCATCTGGCAATAAAGGTAAGGACCAGTTGCTCATGAGCTGGATAAGAGCTCTGAATGGGCTGGTTCTGCTCCGCGGGCCATATGTTTGACAACCCTAGTTATGCCAAGGGATCCTAGAAGAACCAAATAATGAAAGTTCAACTTGTACTCCAGAATCAGGGCTACATTCAAGTTGCCAAAAGCGTAGGCGGATGAGCAAGAGGACTCTCCCCCAACACCACACCCACATGATCACATGCTCATTCACAGTCTTTATTTATTATGAAGGGCTTTTTAGAATTTGAAAACAAAAATTATAGAAGGCGCATGTGCACCCAGCCACATAGTTCATGGCCCGGATAGTGAAGGACGGACAGAAGGAAATACTACTTCACACAGAGAGTGATTAAAATGTGGAATTCGCTGCCAGAGGATGTAGCAATGGCCACAGGAATAAACCGCTTGAAAAAAGGATCAGAGAGATTTATGGAGGATAAGTCTATCTGTGGCTACTAGCCGTGGTGGCTGAGGTGAACCTCCACATTCAGGGGCACTAATCCTCTGAATCCCAGAGCCAGGAGGCAACCTCAGAGGAAGGCCTCTATGCCCTGTGGTTGGCCATCCAGAGGAACTGGTTGGCCACTGTGTGAGACAGAAGGCTGGACTAGATGGACTGATCCAGCAGAGCTCTTCTTACGTACTTATATACTTCTTTTCACTGCAAGTGATTAACATGTGGAATTCACTGCCAGAGGATGTAATGATGGCCACTGAAATAAACAGCTTGAAAAGGGGTTAGAGAGATTAATGGAGGATACGTCTATCAATGGCTACGAATTATGGTGGCTGAGGGGAACCTCCCCATTCAGAGGCACTAATCCTTTAAATGCAAGAGCCAGGAGGCAACATCAGGGGGAGGTCTCAGCCTCTGTGCCTTGTCGTTGGCTGTCCTGAGGAACTGGTTGGCCACTGTGTGAGACAGGATGCTGGGCTATATGTACTATTGGTCTGATCCAGCAGGGCTCTTCTGATGTTGTTAAGAAGGCCTTGGCCTCTATGCCCTCCAGAGGAACTGGTTGGCCATTATGTGAGAGAGGATGCTGGGCTATATGGAATATTGGCCTGATCCAGCAGGGCCCTTCTGATGTTGTTATGAAGGCCTTGGCCTCTATGCCCTCCAGAGGAACTGGTTGGCCATTATGTGAGACAGGATGGTGGACTACATGGGACTATTGGTCTGCTCCTAGAACAATGTATTAGATGATCAGCTGGGGGGGGGGATGACAATGCCGCAAAGCCAGTGACATCAGTATGTTCTCCATAAGTGTCTCCCACCAAAGGAGATGTACACACTAGCAGAAGTATTTACAAATTACTCACAGAAGTAAAAGATGATCCCAGCCGCAAACAGAGGAGCCGCAGCCACCAAGAGGATCCCCACAATGAGCCACAGCCTCAGCAACACTGAAATGGGGAAAAAAAGAACAAAATAATCTGTAAATAGCTCCAAAGAATCTCCCCATTTTGGAGGGAAGGCCAACCAAAGTTACACGAAAATGTGTTGCCAAGAAGCCGTTCCAGACGGCCCTGCTAAGGAGACTCTTCTGATATCTGTGCCCCACGCTGGGCTCTGGACTGTGTACTGTGGCCAGGGCAGCCTGTGCCGAAGGCGCATGCCCAGCCAGGTCTGGACCCGGGACCACAGAGGACCTCTGCCCATGCGCCACTCTGTATCTGCGCAAGCACAATGAGGCAGACCAGCAACCCCCAGTTGCCATGAACATGGAAAGCAGCAGTAGACCAGAGAGGAGCCATGTTCTGGAAGAGGCCAGAGCGGCCCGCAGCTGAGCTTGAGTTGGGGCTCCAGTGACAAGGCGGGGAGGGGGCCGGCAGCAGCGGGGCAAGTCAAAAGCAAGCATCAAGGTAGTGGCAGGGCCAGTCGGATGGCGGAGAGCGGCGGTGGCAGGAAGCGAGCTAGGCAGCTGGGCGCCCCTGGGTAGGCAGCGGCTGAGGCAACTTTGGCACGCTGGTTCCCCGCCTCAGTGCCCCGTCCGTACTCAGCCCTCCACTCCGCCTCACCCTGCACCTCCTCAGCTGCCGTGCGCTCCGCCAGCTCACCCAGCAGCACCAGCACAGTCAGTGGCGCCAGCGGCCAGAGGAGCAGAACAGCAATGGCGTGCAGGCTTTTAGCGCCTTCCCCGCGCAATTCAGCACCCCATCCAGGTCCCGCCGCCCCATCCAGGACCCGGGGTTCTAGGCGAATGCCTAGTTCGTCTAGCGGGTGAGCCGGCCCTGGCTGCAGGATGTACTCATCTCGCTGGACAGGTAACATATAATCCACCAACGATATTTCTGCTAATGCAAAAGTTGCTATCTTTCCTGCCTACTTTTCCTAGATCTGTATTGATTGTGTGTGTGCATGCTAATTACAATTGTACACTTGATAATCATTTAGGAAAAGACCAATTATCACAACAACCTGGTCTCCTCGTCTATTTATGGGGCTCTGTGAATTCTGACTCTGGGATACACAGGTTATGTCTCTGCTATATATGCCAATTCCCCTTAAATTTCATAATTTCCCCAAGCTTATTAAGAACATAAGGCAATTAGGCTAACAAATTGTATGTTTAAAACCTGAACCACAAGGATTTAAATGGAAGACGCTTGCTGGATGCTACTGTGCTGCTGCGATAGGACAGCTGTGTAAATTTTAAAAACTTTGGACACTCCCCCCACACGTGACTGACATTCCACCCTGATTTAGAAAAGGGTGTTTTTTAATTGTAGCCGAAGAATAAATACAGCAGAGGGAAAAGAATGGTGCGTAAGGCGGACACAGAATCTGATATCAAGAGTAAAGGTTTTCTGCTCTGAAAATCTGGAGTAAGATCTGCGTGTGTGTCAGCTGCGCTGCCATGATGTTTATGGGGAGGAGGGTGCCTGCTTGGCCTGTGAGCCTTGTGAGCTGCTGCCATGATGTTTATGAGACCTGGGACATCTGCTTGACTTGTGTGCCCACTCCTTCTTGCATTCCTGTGTTCCTTCTTATCTGTAACCTTGAACCTGCCTGTGTACTGTCTATGCATCTTTTATTCCTGGGATAGGTTTCGATTCCCAGCTCTGGCTGTAACGGTCTGGGGCCCCATTGTCCCACGCGCGGGAGTTAAGCCGATTGGCCTAGGAGCGGGGGAGGGGGCACATTCGAATGCCCTATATCCCATAGTGCTTGTAGAAGAGTAGCCATTCCTAACAGTGACTATGTTACTGCATCTATAGCTCTTGCAATAAAGTATAACCTTATGATAAGCGTGTACTCATTTGTTTGGCTGTGGAACCTAACAGTGTGGACCTTTGCTGGCAATTGGGTCTGTCTTTGCGTCATGACTCTGGTATTCCTTGGAGGTCTCCCATCCAAATACTAGCCTGCCCAGGGCCGACCCTGTTTAGCTTACGAGATCTGAGGAGATCAGGTCAGGGTGGAAAATCTGGAAAAAAATCCTTGTGACTTAGGTTTACACATGACAATCACTTCACTGAATCGTGATTTCAAAATATAAATCATAATAATTACAGAAAGAGTGAACAAGCTTATTTCAAACCGGTAAACTGGTACTAAACTAGATTTATAAGTCATAGATTCAGGTCAAAATGAAATATAGGAAGAATAATCAACACTACAGATTATGCTCAGAAATCAGAACTAGGAAAACTTTTAGGTTCCTCGATTCCCCTCCCCCCTTCCCCTTTCGGTTTCTCACCCGGCTCCTCCCAGGCGAAGTCCAAAGGCTCCGGCAGGCTGTCGTGCTCCACATGGCACCGGTACCGATCCCTGTCCTGGGGGTGGATCTTGATGCTCAGCCAGGTGTGGTAGGTCCCGTCCCAGTTGGGAATAATGCCCCCACGAAAGGTCTCCTGCTCCCAGACTTCCCCGTCCTTGGTCCAGGTGGCATCAATCTCCTTGGGGTGGAAGCCATGGGCCCGACACATGAGGGTTTCCAGGCCATCGTACTCCGCCTTGCGTCCCACCGTCACCACTGGGGGCTCTGTAGAAACAGCCACAGTGGTCCACGTTAAGAGGGAATCTTTCTGTTGTCTCGGAGGTCAGATGTCAGGAAGGGATCCCTCTGGCTATCTAGTCCTACCCCTTGTTTGGCGACTGGATATCCCAAACTTGTAACTTTGCCAAACAATGAAAATTCCCAAAGAAGGAAGGGCCCCAGCAACTCCTTATTCTTTGAGAAGTATAAGCTAAAATGGAAGGTAAAGTGACCAAACTGAGGTCGTAGTCACACGGTCTTGATCGGGTTTCACAACTGTTCCCTATCGCATTTAAAAGGGCTGATCAGACAGCTGAGTCTGTCTCCTGTATCAAAGTGGACTCACCCCCGCTATCCTCCCGGTTTTCTAGCACGTTTTCCAACACTGGGGAAATCAAGTACTTTCCTATTACTTGCGCTGTGAATCCACAATTTCTCCTATCTGGAATGTTTAGCTTGGAGAAGAGGAGATTGAGGGGGGACATGATTGCTCTCTTTAAATATTTGAAAGAAGGGCAAGGAGCTGTTCCAGTTGGCAGCAGAGGAGAGCACCCGAAGCAATGGGTTTAAATCACATGCAGAAAGGTATCGGCTGGATATTAGGAAAAACGTCTTCACTGTCAGAGTGGTTCAGAGGTGGAATCGGCTGCCTAGGCAGGTGGAGCTCCCCTCCACTGACAGCTTTCAAGATGAGGCTGGATGAATATTTGTCAGAGATGCTCTAGGCTGGTCCTGCGTTGGGCAGGGGGTGAGACTAGATGGTCTGTCTGGCCCCTTCCAACTCTATGATTCTATGATTCTATGACTCGATCAAGGAAGCCACGAGGGCCCTCAGTTTGTAAGACCTGAGTGAGGCTGTTGGCGATAGGATGTCTCGGAGGTCATTCATTCGTAGGGTCACTGTAAGTCGGAAGAGACTTCACGACACTTAACCAAAACAACAGAGCCTTCAGCTATCCTCACCTCTTCTCAGCAGAGACTCCTTCCCGTACTCCAGGAACTTCTGCAGCCAACCAATGCATTCCTTCTCCAGGTAGGACTTCAACCTATGGCACCTTGCCAGGTCAGCATCCCATTGCCTCTTGGTCACCTGAGCGGGCACAACGGCTGCTGTCCAGGTGAGGGTCTCCTTGTCAAAGCTGATGTAGTCCTCCCCATTATATCCGTACTGCTTTAAACCTCTTTTGGTCCCATCCTTGTTCAGTTCACAGCCAAACATGTGCTGCCAGATGTGTAGCCCTGAAGGAAATGCACAATTATAATTAGAAGAAGAGATTGGATTTATACCCCGCCCTTCACTTGGAGTCTCAGAGCGGCTTACAAACTCCTCTCCCTTCCCCTCCCCACAACAGACACCCTGTGAGGTAGGTGGGGCTGAGAGAGCTCTGACAGAAACTGCCCTTTCAAGGACAGCTCTTGTCGGAACTATGGCTTGCCCAAGGTCATCCAGCAGCTGCAAGTGGAAGAGTGGGGAATAAAACCCGGTTCTCCCAGATTAGAGCCCGCACACTTAACCACTACACCAAACTGGCTCTCCTCTGTCAGGATGAAAGCCCCTTTCTGAGAGGGCCTAAATGAACACAAAATGGTTCTACCCTTTACTGGCTTAGAGACAAACATCTTCATTCTTCCTGTAAATGTTAAGTAGATGTGTTCAAGGGGACATGGTGACTGTGCTTACATGTTACACTCACCCCATGAAAACTGGTCAGGTTTAGACTGTTCATATGTAGGCAGGCTTTGAGAATTCTACTTACTTCTTTGGTGACAAAAGGGAACCTCCATACATAAGCAGTAAACTTCAGCATATCAGTGCTCGGAGGCAATCTCAAGAGAAGGCCTTGGCCTATGTCTGGTTTTTTGGTCCTCTAGGGCAACTGGCTGGCCACTGTATGAAACAAAATGGTGGATTAGGTAGATCGTTGGTCTGATCTACCATGGCTGTTCTTTTGCACTCAGGGAGGAGGAGGAGATTATTGGATTTATACCCCGCCCTTCACTACCTGAAGGAGTCTCAGAGCAGTTTACAATCCCTTTCCTTTCCCCTCCCCACAACAGACACCCTGTGAGGTAGGTGGGGCTGAGAGAGCTCTTTTAAGAACTGCTCTTGAGAGAACAGCTCTGAGAGAACGTATGACTGACTCCAGCAGCTGCATGCGGAGGAGTGGGGAATCAAACCCAGTTCTCCCAGATTAGAGTCCACACTCCTAACCACTACACCAATCAGAGATGCTACCAATTGGTGAACATTCACCTTCTGTTTTCGCTCTCATCTTATAATAAAAAGGAAGAGCCTACCAGCCAGCAGCTTTTTCTTCCTTCTCACTGTAACTTTAAGGCAATTTCAAGGCAGCGTAACATCAACTGTCCACTGGGAAGACTAAAACCCCTTGCACATCTTCCCGTATATCTCCAGAAAGTTAGACTTGCATTTAAAATAAGTGGGAGCTGGGAATTCAGAGAGGGACGGCAGCATTCTTTTCTGGGGCAAATGCCCCGATAAGCCTCTCCCCCCCCATTGGCCCGTAGCCTGCGTGGGGCCCTCGAGGCTTGGTTTTCCCTGTGGGTTTTGCGGGGCCCCCCCCCCCATCCTCCGTCCGCCCCGAGGCAAAAGATCGATGGGGCTGTGACATCCCGTTTGACTTGGAAGCACAGACACCCCCGCAGAGCGCTCAGGAGGAGGAGGGCGGCGTGATTCGGTTATTTTTTTTTTTAAGGGACCAGCCCAGGGTCCCGTCCCCCCCACACTTTCCCTCCCCTCTAGAAAGTGAGTTGGATGGTCAAGGTTGCCACAGGGCCGGCCGGCTCTAACAAGCGCATCCACGGCATGAAGGGGATTAATTAAGCGCGCGCTGAGAGAGACAGACAGACAGACTCCCCAGGCCCCTGCAGAGGAGAGAGCCACCCCGGCTTTCCAGGGAATGTGCCCGGCAAAGGAGTGAATTGGGATGAGAACCCGGCGGAGGGGGAACTTCCTCCCTCCCACTCTTCCGGGTCGCCTTCCCAGCTGAGTCAAGCGAAGCTCGCAGAGGGACTTGCTGAGAGATCCCTTCCCTCCCTCCCTCCCCAATCCCTCCAGGCAGCCTCTCGAGAAAGCAAGCCCGGGAAGACGTTTGCCAGTTCCCCAAACTTTCAGCCACCCCTTCCCCCCCTCCTTTTTTTGTGTTCACGCCAGAGACTGGCTGGGATCCTTTGGAATTCGAATCCCAACAACCAGGTCTCTTCTAGCAGAAGGCAGATGGACTTCAGACCGGTCTATCCCGCCCCGCCCCCCAGCCTTCTGGGCTAGGAATTTGGACATTTGCAAGGACGGAAATCTCCCCCCTCCCATGTCTCCTTCATGACACACTCCTTCAGCACCCCAGCCTTTGGCAGCAATCAGGGCGAAAGGCGAGGGACCAGGGCTGCCGGTAGGATGCCGGTCCCACACACACACACACACCGCCCGCGACGTGGAGACAGCGGAGATCAAAGTGGTTCCCCAACACCACCCAAAAACTGTCACCGCCGCCTGGCCAGGGAACCCTGGACCAGTGCCGCCTCCCCTGCCAAAGAGCTCCCTCCTGGTCTTGCAAGTTAGGGCACCGACCGTATGCCTGTGTACTCAGAAGTAGATTCCTTGATGTTCCATGAGACCCACTCCGCTGTCAGGCTAGAGGTCGGGAACAGACGGAGCCGAAAGTTGGCATTCTCCCCCCACTCACACAACTGCCCCAGCAATGTAGGAAAGAGGGGTGGGTGGGAGAGCCAGAACCCCCACCAGCTGGGGGGGGAGCAGCACCCCACTCGTCGCCTACATTGGGGGTAGGGGGAGAACGGCAAGCCGAGTGGCCACTGCCTACCCAAAAGCGCGGCTGCCTGGAGCAGTAGCTGCCGAGCCCCGAGCGAGCAGGGGGGCGCTTCCTCCTGGTCAGGAAGGATGGCTCCAGAGCAAACTAATTTATGCGGCAGCCAAATTGCTCTCTCACACCTTAAATGGCAGTAGCTCACAAAGTAGAAGTTTTGCTCACAAAACTCCACAGCTTAGAGGGAACATTGGTGGTGGGCCCCCTGAGAAAAACATGGGCCCCCTGAGCAAAAAGTTGTTAGCTACAGGCCTGCCCATAACTATGGATCCGGCAATGCCTGAACAGTCCTAAAGAGAACTCGCATGCAAAGGAGTTTCAATTTTTGAGTGTGGGATGGATTCACTGGGAAGAATGAATGTTCTTCTCTCACAGAATTTGCCATGACCACGTGCCACAACTGAGCAGGCGGCATTCCAGCCTCTTGCTCTGGCCTCTGGACGCAAAGGGGAGGAGGCTGTGCCCCCCCCAATCCCCCCCATCCTACCTGTGGGCTTCCTGGGGGAATCTGATTGGACAACGGGTGAAGCAGAATGCTGGATTAGAGGAACGTTTGACCTGATCCGCAGTATCACCAAAATGGACTGCAAAGTGGAAAAAAGAGGTGTTTCTGTCCTGGGAAGTCCCCTCTGCCCATGTTCTGCCCTTGGGAAGGAGGCTTCCGGGGTGGACCTTACGCTTCATCCCCTTACCTCTGCTCTGATTGTAGATACTCCGCAAGTTCATCAGTTCTGTCTTCATTCTCCGCTCATGATAGATGGCTCTCTGGGTGTTCCAGTCCCAGAAGTCGGGGTCGTCCTTCTCCACATTCCTTACCCAGGGGACACGAGGCACGGCCCTCTTTGTGGTGCTGTTATAGTGGCCGCCAAGGTGGTCGTCAAGGTAGGCCACAGCGATTAAATCCGCCTCACCCTGGTCAGGCGCCCAGATTGTTGTGTAGAAATAGCGCAGAGAGTGCCAAGAAGAACCTGGGCAGGGCAGAGAGGCAGAGCTAAGGGGCCTGCAACCGCACACCCTGGATCACCTACATGCCCTCTTCCCCCTCCACTGAGGCAGGAAGAGGCTCCTTTCCCCCCACCTTAAAACTATTGGGTTAAATGTTAGAAAAAACAAAAACATTGCCTTGGAAGCACAGAAGGTTTTTTTCCGTAGAATCCCCAATTCTCTACGTTTCCCGGTTAAGGGGGAAAAATGCTGTTCAAACAAATGACAAAGATGATCTGACTGCAATGGTCAAAAGAGAACGAAATTTTACTTACAAAAATGGAAGCATGACTTCTGGTTTTCGGCGCTTCAGTGATGGCTGCGTCTCTTGGCTCCTCCGAGAAACGTGTGCCATGAATCGGGGATTAAGAGGGAGTGTGAGCATGCATGCTCTCCCATGGGCTCTTAGCCAGGGAGCTTTGGGGAGCCCCACCTCCGGCCATCAGCCGGTACAGGGGGGCTACTCTCCGCCCTGAAGGTCCTGCCCTGATTCCCAGTGTTGGACTCGAAGCGACCACCAGGACAAGCGTATGAAGGTTTGGCAATTTTACTCTGCCTAGCAAGATCCCAGGGAGACCTGATGGATCGTTTTTGAAGATGGATGAGTGAGTTTCAGTTAAAGCGAGACATCGGAGCTGTGTTGCAAAGCCCCCACAAACTAAAGCGGGAAAGGGGAGGGGACGCCCTACCCCCTTAAGCGATTGAACAAAGCGAGATGATGGGGGACTGAGCTAACAGTAGCAATGGATTACAGTAGAAGGACTAGATCAGAGAAATTTTCCAATCAAAGCGGTTACAGACCTTTGAGACCTTGGCAACTTTAATCGGTAAATGTAAACAACCCTCCAAGATGGCGGGGAGGGGGGACGGAAGCTTCTCTCATGAAGAAGAAAAACGGAGGGCTGGGTCAGGTGACCTAACCATAGACTCTTCCCATAGCATGAAATCAGGTGCCATCTGCTGGCTATAGTGGGATATTCGACGGGAATGGCTCTAAACGTGGCAATACTTTTAAAGGGACAGTGTCTACAGCGAGAAGCAGCGAGTTGTGGATTGTGGACGAAATTGTCTAGCTTATATTGGATGGTGGCAAGCAGATCAAAAAGGGTGGATTACTCTTGTAAAATAAAATCTGCATGAAGTGAATGGCTGGTCTTTCTAACTAGAGTGTGGATGAAGCAACAAGCGAGTGAAAGCCCTGGAAAGAAGCGGTACTAACTGGACAGAGCCTGTTTCATTACAGCTGTTTATGAACGAAGAATCAACAGAGAAGGAAGAGGATTGAGAGGACTGAATGGACTGAGAGAATCTAGGCTCCACAACGTCGTGTTTGTGGGGAGGGAGGGAAAGCGTAATGGGAGAGGTCAATGTCTTTTAAGGTCTTTATACTTCTTAATTAGCTTTGGAACTATTCTCTGTCTAGACAGATAAGCTGGATTTTAACTTGAAGTGATGAATAAGGAAACTCTTCATGTCGGAAGCTAATT